AAGAGTGAGAGAAGAGGAAGGGCCGGTTGGTCTAAAGTTTAGGGAGATGTTTAAACTCCCGAGCCTATGGGCACTGACCTAGCCACTGGGGGATACAGCCACTGGCTATCAAAAATGGGGGGTTATCAAGGCACGAAGCAGTTGGCTTACCAGCTTTCATGAGTGTGCTTAGTTTCAGAAAACGGGGGGTGATGGTGATAGGATTTTATGATTCAATTGTGAGTAACAGTTAGCAGGATTAATTGAGAGTGTCACAACTGTAATTGTAGATGTGTAACTACAAGTGGAAGTAGTTAATCTTTTATTTCAGGAACAGATGATCCCAAGACCATCAAGAAGAGAGAGTATGAGTGGAGCATGAGATCATACTTAGAAAAGCAGCTACAGCAGAGATGGTGGCAGAAGTGTTGGTGTGGAGAGGACAGAGCAGCTGAAGACTCTACGTACATGGACTAAGAAAGGCTGTGTGCCTGCGGGCAGGAGGCTGGGTTGCAAAATGTGCCCTTGGACATTTAAATGAATATATATTTTTTGTTTTATATGTGTACATGAAATATTTTTGCTTTGTTGATTTGTGAAAAATAAGGTATAAAAGGAGGCCACAGGAAGGAAGCAGGATAAGTTGTTGCAGGGAGGAGTGTGTAATCATTGAGATGAAGCAAAACATATGATTGGTTGACAGTAAAGTTGATGATCTTGTGTTCTCTCAATTCACATTAAGAAGTTTAAAAAAAAGGAGTATGTTGTATGTTAGAAGAGATGCTGAAACTTGCCCTCCAGGAAATGAGAAAGTAAAAGAGCTGAACTGAAAATTTCAAAGCCAGCTGAGAAGATAAAGTTTTATAATGAATTGTGCTCACACCTGGAGTTAAAAAACCAAAAGGGAAGAACATGCTCATCATGTTCTCAAACTGAAAGAACTGAAGACAAAATTCAAACCTCAACTTGCAATATTGAAGGATTCTCTGGGCAAAATACTGAATGATGCAAAAAGCATCAAAAGAAGAGGGAAGGTATATACAGAGTCACTGTACCAAAAAGAAAAGGTCAATGTTCAACCATTTCAAGAGAAGGCATATGATCACATGCCAATCATGTGCTACCGAAGGAAGACGTCAAGGTGCATTGTAAGCACTGGTGAAAGGGCTCCAGGAACTGATGGAACACAAACTGAAATCTTTCAACAAACTGATGCAGCATTGAAGGCACACACCTATCTATGCCAAGAAATTTAAAAGGCAGCTACCTGGCCAAACAATTGGAAAAGATCCATAGTTGTGCTCATTCCAAAGAGAGGTGACCCAATGGAATGTGGAAATCATCAAAAGTCAAATTTTGCTGAAGATAATTCAAAAGTGGCTGCAACAGAACATCAACAGGAAACTGCCAGAAATTCAAGCCAGATTCAGAAGAGGATGTAGAACTAAGAATACCATTGCTGATGTCAGATGGATCTTGGCTGAAAGTAGAAAATACCAGAAAGATGTTTACTTTTGCTTTATTAACTACGCAAAGGCTTTTGACCGTGCACATCATGACAAGTTCACCAGCATTCTTACGGTCCCTGTGGTCACACCTTTCTCAGACACTCTTTCATTAAATCCAAACCCCTGACTCAGGGTTTGAGTTTGTACTCCACCCCACTGCTAAGCATTGCTAGAAGAAAGCCCACAAGTCAGGGCTGAAGACCGCATATAGTCACTTTCTAACTTTAACTAGGCCTGCATCATCTTGTTTCTCTCTTAGACAGCCTTTTCTTTTATGCTCCCACCCCATCTTCTACCAAAGTATTTCTAAACCTTAATGAAGTCATAAAGATCATTCATTTTATAAAATGTCCAACCTTGAGTACATACATACTTTTTAAATATTCTGTGTGACCAGAGGGATGTCATCAGAAATAAAGCATTTCTGTTGCCCTCAGAGAACACGGATTAACATGAGAAAAGGCAATGGTGTGACTAAAGAAGAGCTAAACTACCTGCTTTTATCACTGAGTGTCATTCTTTACTTGACAGAATAACTGACAGAAAAACTGTGGTTATTCACACTTGAATGTCTACCAGACAGGTTTTGGAAAATGAACCAAGTTAACCTGTCATTTTAAGGAAAACAACATTGTTGACAATGATAGAAATTCAAGCTTTCAAGTCAAACTTCACATTTTGGAAACCTTGTATCTGCAACATAACTGACCCAGACAGATTCCCATACATACAGTTCATACTCTATGAGATAATTCACAAACATCAGAAAAATCTCAACGATGATCATTTAATTTAAATAGCAAGTTAACATTAAACGGTGTTTGGAAATATACAAGTCAATATTTGCTAAGCTATCCAAAGTACTGTAGAGTCAGGACTGGTCTTCTATGAGAGTAAGTCAACAGTATTGTACACAAGCAGATACCTTTATTGAATAAAACTATCAAGTTGTGAAGGTATTATTTGTTAACATAGCCTCCACCCACGTGCATGTACTACTTCTGAAGGCAGTATTTCTGCACTCTTTCATTTACACCACATCAAACAGCAGTTTGGGAATTTTCAAGGGACTCAAATCTTGTTCCTTTTAAATGAATTTAGGAAACAAAAAAAGTCTGAAAGAGAAAGATCAAGGATGGAGGGTGAATGGAATAAGGTTTCCCAGGGAAATCTTACAGGACAGGCCTTGATGCCCTCAAAAAATTAGCAGAGGTACTATATCATGATAGAAAAAAATTCCTTGGTGCAACTTTCCTGGCTTTTTCTCACCAATGCAGTTTTAAATTTTCTTAATTCTTCTTCCAAATAAGCCCTTGATCATCCTGTATTTGTCAAGAAAACCTATCACTATTACCCCTTTGAAATCCCAAAAATCAGACACCATAATGTTCTCAACTGACCTCTCTGCCTTGAACTTAACTATTCTAGCATATCTTCCTCTGAAGCCGCTGTTTTGATTGAATCTTATGTTTAGAAGGTACCCTAATAAGTCTAAGAGAAAACCCGTCTGGAGTCATCCACTAACCTAAACTCATTTTGTCTGGAATAAAGCCGTGGATGTATGAACTGAAATCCTAGGAGTATCACTTTTTGACTTACCCTCAGATATGAAGAAACTTCAAAAAGTTTGTGGTAAAAATGGAATTAAAAGATAACAAAATTTTCCTATAAATGTTTTAAATTTCTCTCGTATTAAGTTATAGGGAAAAAGAACTCGACTAAGATAGTAGCTATCAAAGAAGGCTCTACAAAGGAAGAAAATCAGGGATGGAACTTAGAAAAAAAGAGGACAATTTAAACTTGTAGCATCCTAGGAAGTTTGTGATGCTGTTTTGTTTTGTTTGTTTTTAAGGAAAGATAATGTATTTCTACTATTTCATAAATGTTAATTCAAACTTTCAAGTAAGATTTTAAGATCATTGAACTTAGGAGCCATATTTTATCATTATTTGCTGTCCATTAAAGAGGTTGTTGTTGTTGTTGTTATTAAGTGGTGTTGAGTCAGTTTCAACTCATAGCGATCCTGTTTAAGTTTTCCAAGGAGAGGAGGGTCTAACTGCAAACATTGTGGTTAGCAGCCCAGTACTTATCCTACAGCGCCACACCAGCAATCCCTTAGAGAGATTAGCAAAGGGCTAAATTGTTAAATTATTTAGTTTAAAAATAAGTTTTACAAAAGGAGGAAGCAGAGCACAAATAATCCAAGATCAGAGTTAAATATCAGTGCTGGATTTACCTAGGTTGCTTTGGATAATTTAGTTAACACTTGATTAACTCAAACTCAAATATACCTAGTTTGAGAGTCACCTTAAAAAATCCTAATTAAAAATACTACAGATAACTAATAATCAGAGGAGGTATGAAAATCTGCACTCCTAATTTTATGCTAATCATGTTTATTTATATGTTATTTTCAAACAAATAGCAATTCATATTTTTATTCTTCACTTAACCAGATTTTATATTCTTTATTTATAAGGAACATTGTGTACCACTGAATTAGTCAAAGAATTGTCTTTCAAGTTTCTCAACAAGACAGGTTTTCAAACACTTTCAATATAGGTACACTGTGGTCTTTCTTAGTGAATTTCAATCCAAATTAGCAAAATAAATTGGAATTATGTAATTCCAATTTATTCCACTTCAGATATCTAAAATTGCAGTCCTTCCTTCTTTTCTTCACATCAATTTCTTTCACAAAGTCAGTCATCTGTCTAGTCACCTTGACACCATCTTCTCTCCTGGACACAAACACCCAGACTTCCTTCACCCTTCAAAATTACTGTCTTTTCTCTGTGAGGTGACTACAGCCACTAGAGGGCAATAAATTTACAAAGATAAATGTATATAACACTTATGACTGAGATTCACACACTAGAAAGCCTCAAAACTGTAGCATCACAAACCCTAAAGCATAAGCAATTAGATTTGAACATGAAAATATATGCTTCAAACTCAAAAATTACCCCATAAATGGCCTATACAGAAGTATAGTAATAATACTCAAAAAATGTTTCCATTTTCTTGAAAAACACAAACAAAATAAATAAGCCCAATTACTTTACAGGTAAGTAGGAATGTTAGAAATGAAGATTTTTTTTTTTTTAATATCACTTTCAGCAAGAAAAGCTAAAAGGGGCAAACAAAAACACAAAAAGAGAGCATGTGCTGGGTGGGTAGAAAAATGAGAACTACTGTCCTTCAGCTCATCAACTACCACAATGAGAAAGGAAGAACACAAAGATTTACCAATTCTTTCTTCTACTGAAAAGCAAAGAAAAAATTACTTCTTTCTTTTTTGGAAAGAGAAAGAATATAGAGATGAACATAACATTTTTTTCCTCACAATTAAATATATGAAAGGAAAAGAAATGGGATAATTGTTCATCTTTGTTCTACCTTTTGCAAAGAATCCAAATTGAAATGAATTTAAGTTACTTTATATTTGTTTATACTGACATTACAAAACTACAACACATATAACATCATTTTTAACAACTGTCATTTTCTTACCCTCATCGGATGTATATCAGCATACGGAGGTTTTCCTTCAGCCATTTCTATAGAAGTGATGCCAAGAGACCAGATATCTGCCACACAGTTATAGCCTATTTCTTGTATTACTTCAGGAGCCATCCAAAATGGAGTACCTATCACAGTATTGCGTTTTGCCATTGTATCCTGCAATAGCATAACACAGACATAATTATAACTTCAGGAACACTATGAAAAGCTTTATGCCAAAATATTCTTCACTGTTGTTGTGTGAAGTGTCATCTTATCGGTTCCAATTCATAGCAACCCTGAATAGGGTTTCCAAGGAGCTGCTGGTGGATTTGAACCACCGACCTTGCAGTTCAAACTGTTTACTCTGTGGTCCAGTGCTTATCGTACATACAGCGTGCCACACACGTTAACATTTTCTTTAAAACCTATGTTAACACTCAAATACAACAGATGATATCTGAAATTAATGCTTTTCCTAAAATGTCAACTAGGTATGACAGAACATTTAGGAATTCTGAAATAACCAAGTCCACATCTAACTTATCTTCATACCTCCATTAACGTCATTAAAGATGGTACTATAGCACAGTGTTACGAATTGGGCTGCTAACGTCAAGGTCAGCAGTTCGAAACTACCAGCTGTTCTACGGGAGAAAGATGAGGCTTTCTGCTCCCGTAAAGATTTGCAGCCTCAGAAACCCTGTGTAGAGTCACGATGAGTCAGAACCGACTCCACAGTACTTAACAACAACAACAACATACCTGGTGTGGCACTGTTGGATAAGCCCTGAACTGCTAACCACAAGGCTGGCAGTTCAAATCCATCAGTGGCTCCTTGGAAATTCTATACTAGGTCTCTATGAGTTGGAACCAACTCAAAAGCAATTGCTAACAAATTCCAATAAAAGCTATAAAAACTAACTGGTGTAATTTCCCTTATAAAGGATTTAAGTATATGAATGACTAGATACATTTTCATATGGATTCCATGTCTCTTATGTTATCTATAAATGAAACAAATAATACTGAAATTATGATTATTTCTCCACAAGAACAATGCAGCTGTCCATTTCTTTCACACACAAAAAAGCTATTAAAGTTTAGTTACAATCATAATTAGACAAATAAGCCAAAAAATGTTTCTAAAAGTATTATACTTACTGTTAACTGACCAGCCACTCCAAAATCTGCCAATTTGGCATGTCCTTCTGTATTAAGGAGAATATTCCCAGCTTTTATATCTCTGTGTATTTTCCTCATAAAGTGCAAATATTCTAGTCCTTTCAATGTAGATTTAAGAATGGTTGCAATTTCATCTTCTGTTAACTGTAAAGTAATATTGAAAAACCATATTGTAACACTATGTTGGATAAATTCTAACAAGAGAACACTGGTAACAAGTAGTTTCCCTAATGACTAGTAAGCCTCTAAGAAAATGCTAAAGGGAAATTTACCAAAGATCTTTTCACCCCATAAATATTATACTTTTTTGTCATACTTTTTATCACTTTTATTACAAATTTTACTAATAAAAAGACCATTAAATTTCTCCTTTTTAAAAACTGTCCATGTCTAAATAATGAGCAAAGTACAAATTTCCTAAGAAATGCCAATGTTCTTGTTGTTGGTAACCAGTGCTGTCACGTCAATTCTGACCCACAGAGACCCTGTATAGGGTTCCAAGTAATGGCTGGTGAGCTTGAATTGCCAACCTGTGGTTCCAGCCAACTTTGCAGTCCAGCGCATTTACCCACAGCACCACACCAGGACTCCAAAAGATGACCAGTAAGTATGTGAAAATACTCGGCATTAAGTCACTGTTGTTGCTAGGTACCATCTAGTCAGTTCCAATTCACAACGACCCTATGTACAACAAAACGAGATGCTGCCTGGTCCTGTGGCATCCTCACGATTGTTGTTATATGTGAGCCCACTGTTGCTGCCACTGTGTCAATCCATCACATTGAGGGTCTCCCTCTTTTTCGCTGACCTTCCAACATAAGTCACTTTGTTGTTGTTGCTAAACTAAGTGCCACTGAGTCAGTTCCAACTCAAAGCGGCCCTGTATAGTGTTTCCACAGAGCAGCTGATGAATTTGAACCAACGACCTTGAGTTCCAACTGACCTTGTGTTTCAGCGCATTATTTGACAGCATCACACCACTAGAGAAATGCAAATCAAAATCACAATAAAATACCTCTTGACACATATAATAAGATGGCTATTACTCTCAACCCAAAAGAACGAAAAATAATAGGCACTAGAAAAGGCATGGAGAAACTGGGTTAATGCACTGGATTGCAAAGTTGGTTTGAACCACATGGTTGGTGGTTCAAGCTCACCAGCTGCTCCTTAGAAACCCTATAAAGGGTCACTATGGGTCGGAACCAACCTGACGGCACTTAACAACAACAACAATGCTATACCAGGAGTCCTGATGTGGCGCTGTGGGATAACACTGGACTGCAAGTTCAGTTTAAGCTGCAAAATTGGCAGTTCAAATTCACCAGTTACTCCTCGGAAACACTATACAAGGTTGCTATGAGCCAGAATTGACTCAAAGGCACTTAACATCAAAAAAACAACAACATGCTATACCAGGAGTCCTGATGTGGTGCTGTGGGTTAATTCACTGCAATAAAACTCACCTCTCACTGTAAGCACAAGTATTAAATGCACCCCAAAAAAATTAGAGGGAAGAGGAACGTCCCAAAAAAAACCAGACAATTCAAATACCCCACAGAGGTAGAATAATAAGGTTACAGTCCATCAATATGGTAGAAACTGAAAACAGAAAGACTACAGAAATGGGAAAGTAACTACAATTAAAAGTTTATTTTCACTGCCACCAGTACCAAAACTGTTCTTGGGCACAGGAGTATGGCTAAAGGCCATTCTCGATTTTCTAGCCAGAGCCCCCCAGGAAAACTATGCAGTACCAAGAGGTGAAAATTCCAGAAAGCTGAGCTAAATAACTTTTTGTGCTTAGATCCAGGAGCAATATTCTTGACTTCATCAAGTTTGTCCCATAAGAATTTTGTTTGGATCTCCTTGCTCTAAAGGGACACTGGTTCCTGACTCATATAAAACTCTTTGAGCCTCCTTTCCCTTGCCCAATGCAGATTTTAAAACACTCGTACCACTCTAAGCCATCTCTCCACACTACACTCCTTAGAGGGTATAAGAATCTTTCTTACTTGTTAAATTCAAGCCAGTGTAAGATGTTGTTGTTGTTAAGTGCCGTCGAGTCGGTTCCGACCCATAGCGACCCTGTACAGGGTTTCCGAGGGTGTAAATCCTTACGGGAGTAGAAAGCCTCATCTTTCTCCCGCGGAGCGACTGGTAGTTTCGAACCGCTGAACTTAAGGTTCGCAGCCCGATTCGTAACCACTACACTACCAGATACCTGATCCCAAATGCCACTTAGTCAACCAACCAAAAATTACCCTGCACCAACTATTTGCTGGGAATACAGCAATGAACAAGATAGGCAATGTGCTTGCTCTCATTGAGCTTACAGTCTACAGTGAAAGATAATTTTAACAATTAAATAGAAAACTAGGGAACACACTTTTGACACATGTGAGGTGGGTAAAAGGTTAAAGTTTAGTAAGCCACACCCCAAATCAAATTCATTGCCATCAAGTCAATTACAACTCACAGTCAACTCCTATACTGGGCTACCAAGACTGCAAATCTATAGGAGAATACAGCCTCATGTTTTTCCCACAGAGTGGCTGCCGGGTTTGAACTGCCAACCTTGAAGTTAGCAGCACAATGCCTAGCCCACAGTGCCACCCAATATAAAACACCCACTGCCATCAACGTGATTCCGACTCATAGCAAGCCTGTATATGGTTTCCAAGGCCGTAAATCTTAATAGAAACAGAAATTCTCACCTCTCCCCTGGAGTGGCTGATGGGTTTGAAATGCCAACACTGAGATTAGCAGCCCAGTGCTTATCCTTCAGCACACCAGTGCTCCTATTTCTATATGACACCTAAGAGACAGGAAAGTGACATTCATGGAAGATTTTACAGGTAATAGGAAACGAGTGTGGAGTCCTGGTGTGGTGCTGTGGGCTAATGTGCCAGACTGCAAAGCCAATTGGACTGCAAGGTCAGCAGTTTAAGCTCACCAGCCGCTCCTCAGAAACCCTATACAGGATTGCTATGGGTCAGACCAACTCGACAGCACTTTACAACAACAACAAGGAAACGAGTGTTGGTTATCTGAAGTATCTCTGGGACTTCAAAGAACTTGTTCTCTATTTTGGACCAATGGTCTGACTTCACGATCCACAGAAAATAAAACACTATGGTCTAAAGCGAAGTTATCCAATATAGCAGCCATGGCCACACAAAATTGAGATATGCCATAAATGTAAAATATATACCAAGGTTCAAGATTTAGTAGCCCCAAAAAAGGAGAACATAAAATATCTCAGTAATCATTTTTATAATGATTACATGTTGAAATTTATTTTTTATGTCCTGGGTTAAGAATGTTTCTAAAATTAGCTTCCCCTGGTTTTGTTTTACTTTCTAATGTCGCTACTAGAACACTGAAAAGTGCATCTACCTGTAGCTCACGTTACGGGTGTCTGCTAGGCAGTGCTGTGTTAGAAGACCAGGCGGTGCAGTGGTCAAGCACTCAACTGGTAACTAAAAGGGCAGTGGTTCAAACTCACCAACTGCTTGCTCCACAGAAGAAAGGAACTGGCGATCTGCTCCCATATTCTACTCTATCCCATCGTGTGTCTGTGAGTCAGAATGGACTGACTTTCGGGCCACACTAATGACAGTGAGAAGGGATGTTTGTTTTGTTCACTGGGCTGTCCAGAATGCCTGGAACAATGCCTAGAATACGTTCACACTTACTTTAATTTCAAAGGGTTTCTCTTACTCATAAACCCAAAATTAATAATAAAACTCTGAGCGAAAAGAAAGAAGAAAAAAAAAAAAAAAGTGATACTACTTTTTTTTTTTTCCAACCAGGAACTGTTAAACTACTTTGCAGAATTTTTTTCAAGCTTAAGGAGTTTAATAATAAGGAAAGTGAGGTCCCGCTTAACACAGTAATTAAATCTTTCTTTGCAAACCCCTTGGTTACAATGACATCTGTTAACCATAAACTATTTCAGAATTTATCTAATGTAAAAAAAAAAAAAAAAAATTTAAGGTAACTTATATAATTTCCCTTGCTTCCTGAGAGATGAGAAACCTTTTATCATTTTAAAAACCTCCAGACTACACCTGAAGTTTTGGCAAATAATGGGTTCTCTCCTTCCTCACAGAGATCACCTAATAACCTAATGAAAGCAGATCTTAACAACAACAGTACTTAACAACAACAATGATTTTATACACTAGCAAGATTTTCACATGAAAGTAGTCTTTTCTTAGTAACTAAATAAATCCACAGAGTCAGCAGTTCAAACACACCAGCTGTTCCTTGGAAATCATATACAGGGTCACTCTGAGTCAGATCTGACTTGACAGCACTTAACAACAACAAATAAATTCACACTAATTTGGACATCCATCTATTAATTCATTCAGCAACTACTTGATTGGCTCTACCATACAACAGATTCTGCACAGGGTGCTGGGCGCAGAGCGCTAAATGGTGCAAAGTCCCAGTCCTCACAAAGCTTACACACAAGAACACCTCAAGTCATAGCTTGTATTTGTCCCCAAATCCGAACGATGGAGAGCACAGACATGAAGCAAATGTCTAGGTTTTAAAGCCCCTCTTTCAGGATAATGCACTGGTCCTCAAGGTTGGTTTGAGCTACAAGGTCAGCGGTTCAAACTCACAGGCCATTCCCTGGAAACCTATACAGTCAAGGTCAAGTAATACAGCCTTCCGAAAGGATTACAACTCAATGTAAAGAAAATAAACTTCCATAAAACTGGACCAATAAGCAGCATCATGATAAATGGAGAAAAGTTTGAAGTTGCTAAGAATTTTATCTTACTTGAATACAGAATCAAAGCTCATGGCAGCAGCAATCAAGAAACCAAAGGACATAATGCACTGGACAAATCTGCTGCAAATGTCCTCTTGAGAGTATTAAAGAACTTTTTCAGTACTAAATTGTGCTTGACCAAACCATGGTATTTTCAGTGGTCTTATGTGCATGTGAAAGCTGGACAATGAATAAGAAAGAAGGGAGAAGAATTAATGTATTTGAATTATAGTGTTGGCAAAGAATACTGAAAATACGATGGGCTCCCAGGAGAACAAACAAATCCATCTCAGAAGTACTGTCTGAATGCTCCTTAGAAATGATGTTGAGAAGACTTGGGTTCACATAGTTTGGA